TGGTGCGCCCTGATGTGGCCATGCCTCCCTGCCTGCAACAAGGGTCCCATCCCGCTGTTCCTGGGTGCGTGCCCTTCCCTCACACTGGGCTAAAATGCACCCGGCCGGTTTGCATCCTCATTTCTCTGTACAAGTGACTTAATTTTCTGTATTTACACCTTTTCCAGTCCATGAGTCATTAGCAAATATTGGACAGTTTGAACCTCATATTGATTTCTTCTTCACTTTTTCATGGAAGTGTTGAGTGTTGTCAAGTCAGATTCATTATTGTGAAGTGAATACTTTAAATCACCATCAGCAATGAACCATGCACTGCAATCAAAGAAAGACATCAATGTGATTTATTTTAATTATATTTATTTCCTGCAATTTTTTATTCATTGAGTCCTTTATCAGCTGTTCCACATTTTTGCCAAGGATCAATTTCAAGCTGTAAATCAGTAACAGTATTAGCCTTATACTTGGCTCTCCCAAATTGCCCTTTTAAAATACTGGGACAACTTCAGCTCCCTTCTGCAACTTCCTCACCACTTCAGTGTTACTGAAAATAATGATGATTTAAAGAGCTCTTTGGCCACCTCTTGAATTTGATGAATATGCCGGCAGCTTCGTGATGTTCAGCCGGGGTGTATCGCAGAGGGGGATGCAGATTTTGCCATGGATGTTTTACCCCACTGTTCCCACATGGAGCATTAATGATGCCCGTATCGTGTTCACCGTGACTCTGCTGGTCTCCCAGTTTGCTGCTATACCAATGCAGGTAAAATAAGGGATCCAAGAGTAAAAGATCGACGTGCCCCTTGCAAACAAAGCAGCTCAAATCACTACATTGCGAAAATCACTTTGGCACTTTGTCAGTCGTACCTTGCGGCAGCAATTGCTGGAACTAATAGTCATTAATTACCTTTGTCAGGTGAAATTTCCTTAATTGCCTGCAACTTTACTTCCAGGAAACTCCCACTTTCATCTGCCACTGCCAGTTTAAAGGCCATGTCTCCCAGTGGTAATTTTTAGGAAAAGTCCAGGCAAATTAACTGGGGGTGAAGTCATGCGTGGCCCACCTCTGTACAGGATCGGTATGTGTCCTGGAGTCACCTGCCTGACCTGCCTGCATCCAGAAGAACGGTCAGCGGCATGGGACTGGAGGAGGAAGGTGGTCAGCCAACCTGTCATGTAATCCAGGGGCATTCTTTTGTGACCTTTTCTTCTCCTTAAAAAATAAAGGAAACACGGTAGCAGACTGCCTGGAGAGCTGCTGCTCCTTGAACCTTGACAATATGTATTCAGCGTTGCGAGGAGACATTCAGCAGACAGCATTCAGCACGCGCTGTAGCTGCCCTAGCTATCAAGCTCCCATACAGATGTTCATTGAACTGTCAGAGCAACGAGAAGAAAATAAATTAATTGTAAGTGGAAGAAGGTTAGTTAAATCTTTTCTGAAAGTATTACATAGCCATTAGATTGCATAGGAAACTCAATAATAATGGGTAATAGTGTTCTTCCGAGGAATTAAATAAGCCAAATG